GACATCACAAAAGCTCAAAGGTCATACTTAAAGACCTTGAACGACGAAGCATTGACTGAGTCACGTTGGAAAAGCCCCCAGGGTTCACCAAACGCTATCAGTGCACTGCCTCTAACCCCACCAGACTTCCGGTCAATTTCGATTTTAGTAGCAAGTTTGTTGACATTCGGATCTCTCCAATGCTCTGTATTAACGACTCGGTGAGAATGCGGAGAGGTCACGGAGTAACAACGTGCAAATTCGCAGATGATGGTGAGGAATAAATTAAGTTATGGTCACATACTGACCATGCAACAGACTTTACTACGAACGTTAGTCGCAGCAAACCTAGGCGAGCGAAGGTTGAAATTCAGATTTCCAACCCTGAAAGTAGACATGAAAACAGCAGTTATACAAGACAACTGATTTGGAGGGGATCACTACAACAGAAGGTGCAAATGTACCGAATGTTCAAGACATGAACAGAGTAAACCAGTTTAAATGTACCGATGTTCAAGACATATGAACAGAGTAAACCAGTTTGAAAGATGAGCATTCCCAAGTTTATTCAACTGCATTCATCCGGCCCCGGTCCGTTGGTTCAGTTCTTTGTGCTATTCACCTCATATTCGGCAATTCACTTTTTCGACTTTTGAAACTTCGCAGCTTTCTGAATTCACATAGCCTCACTTTGATCAGGACCAACCAACATCTGGGCGTGATTGTCCACGTGTCTCACACGCGACGGCTTTATGGGCCAGTTTCGTTCTACTGCCGTGACGTCACGCTATTGATGCACACACCCAACGGAGCAGACACCAGCGCCATTGACATCCCACACATTTTGGCAAAGTGGTACAGTTTTGGGATAATACTGTCCAGTAACACGTGTTTTTGATCTGATAGAAAATTTTCCACTGGGTTTAAAACTTTTAGTAGATTCAAAAACAAAGCCACGTATGACGACTTCGTGGAGCAACTCGGATCCTTGACTTGTTAGTAGTATTGCCGAGTTAGTTGAGCTCTGCTCAGAGCCTCAGCAAACAAATCAATGTGGAGTAGTTAGTGTCTCCTGACAGAAGATACAAATTTACTTTTTTCTTAGTTGCGTGAGAAGCACATAGCCTGTATAATCGTGGTCTTGTATGCAGATGATCTTGCCAGGCATCCCCAAACACTTTCCCGAGAATATTAGTGGTCGAAGATGTCAGGAAACCCTTCGGAAAGTTTCATGCACAACATACTACTGGTACACTACTCATAACTCCTCTTTTAGGTAGCCACGTCCAGTTAGAGCCTCTATCGTTCCAAGAGTGACTAGTTTGATTGCGTCATAATTGCCACCAATGAAATGTCACATTCCTCCTCACCGTCACCATTATCGTTTTTATTATTATTATTGTTGTTAAAAACAACAATAATAATAAAAAACGGAAGAAGCAACATGGATGGCGTCTGCAGGAAGCCGGCACACCGTATTTACTGAGCCTCAAACTATATGTGAAGCAATTGAAAACAGTTTTGCCGGACAACAAAATACAATGAAATGATGAACTTCTGCGTAGTTCTCTTGGATCTAGCTTAATATTTCTGCCTGGTAGTGAATACTTTTCATATGATTTTGTGATTATCATTACGATAAAGCTGGATGGTGGTCAGCTTAATGAATGGTCAATGACGAACCGGCGGTTTCCCACGGTGAGGGGCGTCTCCCAATAAGTTTCCAGGGTATATACACTGCACCTAGAATTTGAAATTATTCCAGGTTATTATTTCAATGCATGTTCCATTCCACAGTGCATGTCGAATGAAATCGATGAGGTTGCCTTTTTTCGTTTTGGCAGATAGTATATATCCCTTTTTTGGAACAGCTGGTGTGAGACTGCCAGCAGTGCGGGTGTGAACCCAGGCATACGCACCACAATGTGCATAGTTTCGCTCTATCGTGACGTACCTAGAAGGCTTCAAATCAATACAAATGTTACATCTTATGGGATGATCCATAAATCACGTGTTACATTAGATGTGAAAACCAGAACAGGTCTGACCAGAGGGTGAACTAGCGAACGTATGTGAAGCACACACGAGTAGTGTGACTTATTGTCTTGCCGTGCGTTACTTTGTCTTCGGATGAACTCGGATCAATGTGGTGCATATATCTTGATCCAGTTTTGAACTTTTGTTTGATTCTACCTTCTGATGTATGCCTCAGAAGAGGAGAATAAACAATGAACACGATGAAACTTGTCAGAAACTCACGGCATGATACATACATTTCCAGCAATGGCTAACTGCACTCTGTCTTTTTTTGTAGTTTAAGTCTGTGATTTGGAAATCTAGTTAGAACAGTTGCTCTCAACAAGGAGGGAACACCGCCCCAAGGAGGCTTTAGAGGTTTAGGGCGGAATGGAGATTCTGAATTCGCCCACTGCTGAACAGCTGAGTGTTGGTTCGATTGATTTTAGGTTTGAATCAGTCGACATGAGTCATCACTGATTGCGTATAGGTTGTGTTTCTTTTGCGCGCTAACTATGCTTTCAGAGAATGTGTGTTGAACACTTTCAGTCAGTTTGGGGGCTAATCGGTCCAGCCTAGAACAGAAAAAATGGCAACACGCTACGAAGACAGCCGGTTTCAATTCGTTTGCGTGTGACAACAGTCTTAGGCGGGATTCGGCTACAATCGCCCCACAGCTTCAATTGTGCATGCATGAGGGATCAGTAGTAAAGTGGCACTGATGCCTCGTTTAGCATGGTATTCCCTAACCACACAGCTCGCGCTGAAGAATAAAATAAAGAACCATCAAATCATAAACTATAGAGATATGTCAGACTTACAACCGAAAGAGTGTAAAAGTAAAAAAAATCGTATCGCCACGACAGGCCGCTTGATCATACCGTTTAGTCTGCTGTTGTCACACCCGATTGATGAAATCCTCTGTCCCCACACTTTTGGTGTTCATTGCGCCTTTCAGTAGGCATAGTTTTTTCCTTTCTTGTCAAGACAGACCTACATAATTAAGCCCACCTGATCTACTCTACCCAGGACTGCTCCAGTTACGTGGTAACTGTCTGCTGTTTGCTGCAGCCATATTTACCATGCTGTGGTTTCTACATTGTCTGGCCCGCTATTTCCGTCCCATCTTTGCCACCCGAGCACATGGCTCAGTTCGCGGCCATCCAATACGCGCGCTGCACACCGCACGAGTGTACGCACGCGCACACCTGTGTTTGGCACACGTATAAGTGCATGGGAAACAATCGACCGGTTTATCTGTGAGAAGCAAGAGTAGACAGCACATTGGTGCAACTGAGTAAGGCGATCAGGAGCGCGCGGTGATTCCGACAAGCGAACAAACGATATGATTGAGGGGTATTTTCCCAACCGTCTTCTGCACAAGTCCAAGTGGACCCCCAACTAGGGGCGGTTAACTCGCTTCGCCAACTGGACTTTAGTGCTGATTTATCCTGATTTTGTGAGCGACGACCTGCAACGGAAAGAACGCTCGCTGTTCGCCTGACTTCAGTGAGTGTCCCCTTATATCCTCTGAGTTTGGCTTGTCTGCGAAAGACAAACATTGCTTGAATAGTCCCATGACGAGATCCCGAAAACATTTATGTTCGTCACTGTGTTATTTTTCAAAGACAAACATGCTGCAAAGCTCATTTTCGTGGGACCACTGATAATCTTGAAAGTTTTAGTTAGGCCCCCTGTCTATTCCTCCCATCCAGTGAGAACGGCTCAAGTTATTTCGACAACTACTCTTATTTACTCACGAATTTGTTTTTTTCCAGGGGGCTCAACCGAGTCTAGCTGAAGCTCTCGTTTATGATGATCCATTTCAAATGAATGTGTTTCGCCAACCCGTTTCAAGATTCAGATTTGGGTTCAAGGGGAACATAAGGTTGACTACACCTACCTGATGAGCTTCAAGAAGGGCGAAACGGGTCGTGGGCAATCGAAGATTTTTCGGCTAACTACTGAGTTGTGTGTAACCTTAAGGTATTTTCTCCCATTTTGGCACCTTCACTTTGCTTCTCCATCACCAGGACTTGTCAAACAACAACAGGCGAAAGTGCTGACACTTCAAAAATGCAAATCCTTGCTGTGGTGACCATGGACGGTCAATAGAAGCTTCATGTCTTGTTTTGGGCCATATCCTCAGTCAAATGGCACTAGAAAATCCTGTACAGGGACCGAAAACAGAATCTTCACATTTTTTCTCATCCAGAAGTTTGCGTTGAAATAATTCAGTGAAATAAATTACTAATTGAACAGATGTTGAAATTGGCTCTTTCTTGCAACAATTATGAATTGTTCTTCGAAGTTGGGAAAATGCATCTGAAGTTTTCTGGGAGAGATTGAAATGAAGTGTGCTGCGGATCAACCAATAACTGCCTCCTGCAACCGAATAGGTTGTTTGACTCATGCTGCTGGCAGGCGTTTGCAGTTTTAAAGGAAAGTTTTCCTTCTTTCGGTACCACAGGCAAAGCTGACAGTTCGCTGCTGCGTCTCGCCTGGGCAGGACGGCCACTGATGAACACTGGTCTTCGGTCGTCTTGCGTCGGTTTCACCACATACACTTGTCCTGGCGCGCTGGCCCCCTGGTAAAAATTCCACTGGTACCAGCCCAACCAGTCTGTCTGTACCATTGACTCAGGCGAGGAAATGCACTACCCGTCCTGATCGCCTGACTCAGTTGGGTCGGCTTGTTTTGCCGAGCTTGTCACATACGTGAAAATCACTGGTGAGGTCGACGTCAGTGTTTTCACATGCACTGGTGCGCGTGCCAAACACAGGTGTATGTGTGTGCAGGCGCGCACTTGTGAGAAAATACGACATGCGGATTGAGCGATCGGGAACTGAACTAAGTGCCCAGGGGATAGCAGGCCCAAGTTTATAGGTCAACAAGGCGGAAAAACTAGTTCTCGTCTCCAAGGTTGCGTTCGCTTTGTAGACGATAAAGACAGGCCGTATGGAGTAGTGCGATTGTCAAGACGTTAGAAATGTAAACATCATACCTGACTCAAACACGGAGTAAAACTGAGTTGTTTGATCATCACCATCATCATCATCACCACCATCATCATCATCATCACCATCATCATCATCACCACCATCATCATCATCATCACCATCATCATCATCACCACCATCATCATCATCATCACCATCATCATCATCACCACCATCATCATCATCATCACCATCATCATCATCACCACCATCATCATCATCATCACCATCATCATCATCACCACCATCATCATCATCATCACCATCATCATCATCACCACCATCATCATCATCATCACCATCATCATCATCATCATCATCATCAAACCATATCAGATAGTGCAGTGCCTTTAACCACAGCATCATTTCCACCATATTTCAGTGAATCTACTCGTCCCCGTCGGGCTTCTTAAAAAACTGAGGCTTTTAATGCCATCCAAGTTGCTTCAGTGCTCATTGCGCATTCACTTGCATAAAGTAACAAAAGTGATACCAGAATGAATGTTGTACTGATTCAATCAATTGGAAAATGTTTGGGACCGATTGGGAAGTCATCGTTTCAGAGGAGTTTGGTAAACAATCGATGGATTTATTTGTTTACCAAACTCCTCTGAAACGATGACTTCCCAATCGGTCCCAAACATTTTCCAATTGATTGAATCAGTACAACATTCATTCTGGTATCACTTTTGTTACTTTATGCAAGTGAATGCGCAATGAGCACTGAAGCAACTTGGATGGCATTAAAAGCCTCAGTTTTTTAAGAAGCCCGACGGGGACGAGTAGATTCACTGAAATATGGTGGAAATGATGCTGTGGTTAAAGGCACTGCACTATCCTGATATGGTTGATGATGATGATGATGATGATGATGATG